TCCATTTTTGTTAGTCCTTGTCGGAGTCATCTCCAGAAGCATCTCTAGCTTTGCCAGAAATCTTGCGCGTGTATTGTTTTCAGTCCCTCATTGCCAGGCTCTGTCCTGGAAAAAACAGTTGCTGCCCAGCCGATTCTGACTCATGGTGACCCCATGGATTTCAGAGTAGAACTGTGCTCCATAGGATCTTCAATGGCTGTGACCTTTTAGAAGTAGATCACCAGGTCTTTCTTCCAAGATGCCTCTGGGTGGACTCAAACCACCAACCCTTTGGTTAGTAGCTGAGTGCTTCACCGTTTGCACCACCCAGACAGCACTGTACTAGGCACTCACAATAGAGCAATGACTATGACAGGCCTTGAGCTTGCCCCACAAAGCTCACAGTCTTAGAAGGAAGGAGGATGTTAAACAGATACCACACAAACAAGTCATTGGTGAAGACCTTGGTAAGCATTGTGAAAGAAAGGTTCAGTGTGCTAAGAAAGAAAACCACAGGGGTCCAAACATAGCTTGGAGGGCGGTGTGGAATTACCGCATCTGAGGGGTGAACACTAAGGCTGTTAGTCAATTCCTGTGCCGAGATGTATCTCACCAGGCTACAGATATTTTTCTTTGAATCATGTAGGTAAATATAATGGGTTGGAACTTTTAAAATGCCTTATTACAATCTGTTTTCATTCTTCATGTGAATAAACTTTGTAGATCTTTTTAAAAATGTAAATGGCAACTAATGTGTAATTCTGCCTTATATTGGGAAGGAGCCTGAGGTGATAGTTGGGGTTTTCTTTGGAGAGAGTGGAGCAGCTACTACAGGGAGTCCGCTTTGAATGCAGGACTCTCCTGGAGTTCTGTAGGTGCCATACCCACACGGACAAATGCCGAGGGGTGGGAGGCTGAGCGCCCTTCTGAGTTCATTGGAGCCCCCGAAGAGGCCCCTCAGGTCTACTTTTAGTGTTGAGAATGTTTTCCTCGTCTTGGACTTAGAGCTGTAGAGCGCGGCGTGGGCGGGTGGAGAGCAGAAACTGGATGAGGGGCCTCTCAGGTGGCCCGACTTGAATTTTGAGTTCAGATAAAAAGCCCTGTCCTCCCATGAGAAGCAAGAGGAGTGCCAGGAGATACTGGGCTTCACCACATTGCCTTGCTAATTATGGTTTTGGCTTTTCTTTGCGTTTTACTGGGGTGGAGGAACGTATGTTCAGCAGGGCGAGTTATTTGACCCAACAAAGAAGACGTTTGGTGGTGACAGATGTGGAGTGTTCCTACCTTTAGAATTGGAGGACTTTGGAATGACTGAGCCAAGGGGACAGTTCTCCGTCTGTGATCTCTGCGGTATCACAGAGTAGACACTCCTGGTGTCCTTGAATAGGTTTTTACCCATCATCTGGCAGCAGTTTGATTAACCTGAGTGTACGTGGTTCTGTTAGGCTGAGGGTGGTTGGGAAGCTCAGGGATCAGCTGTGAGTCCAGGTGTCTTGTCCTTTGATAACAGTGACTGTCAGGTGAACGGTTTGCACACAGAGATAAAGTCGATGCTCACCTGACGTCCGTGTGCGTCAGCTGTGTGTTTCCGTGTACGTTTGTGCATAGACATGAGACCATGGGGAAGCACAAGCTGCTGTTGCTGGGTCCTCTCAGCACAGGGCTTGTATGTGCTGTGTTCTAGGCTGCATTTAATCACAGTGTCATTATTCCCATTTTGCATATGAGGAAACTTAGTCCCAGGGATGGGAAGTAGCAGAATGAGGGAGGATTCAACTCCAGAACTGCCCAACTCCCAACTCTTTGCTCTTTTTCCTCTGTACCATACTACACACTCTTATTAGTATGATGCTATTTGGAACATGAAACATGAGCAGGTTTTAAAAAAAACCCAACATGAGGTGAGCCTGATGTATCGTACCTTCATCGGTGGGGCAATTTTTGCCTCTGTGCGTGTCCTTTAAACAGCTTTGGCAGTCTGCTGGTGCTCTGTGTATCTGTCCACTGTCGTAGCGGGGTGAACAACAGGCCCCGCCAGGCTGTACCTTACAGCAGGATTAGAACTGGGCCATCCTCCTGGTCCCCCCAACCTCCTGCTTGTTCCTGAACCATCTTCCCTGTACGGCTTTATCGCAGTCATGTCATTTAACCCAGAGAAGGGAGCGTCAGCTTCTGGATCTACTCCAGGCTCGATGGGATGGGGTGGAATGCTCTTATACACACCCACCGATGGGGGCTTGCCGTCTGCTTGTGCACACACTCCCTCACACGCCTGCGTATTCTCAGCCCTTCCCCACAAGCAGCATTGTATTAGCAAGAGGTGACCGGACATTTTGAAGGTGACCTCATGGTTTCTCTGGAGGTTTACAGTTAACTGGCGCATCGTGATAGCCTCAGAATTCCTTCTCTCAGACTGTGATGCCCTTAGCAGCACAGTAACTTCCTCCACGGTGGTTTTCTGGGGCTCCTTCAGCCTCTACGCCTGGGAAGGGGCTCTTTGGCAGGCAGAGCCATTTCAATGGGAGACTGTCTTTTGATTTCCCAGCTTCCCTTGAGCCCCTCTGCTGATAGCTCGGGACTCTCCCCTTCACTGGGTCAGCACCTGCAAGAGGCAGGGACCACGTCAGTCTGCTTTATCACTGTATCCTCAGCGTCTCAAAAGTGCCTGCCCAAGCCTGGTGTACAGTCAGCATGAGTATATAGGTTGGTGTCTCTGCTTTGCTACCTCGGGTAAGTTAATAAATTTACCTGTGAAGATGGCACAGAACCAGACAACGTTTTGTTCTGTTATCTGTAAGGTTGCTATACGTTAGAATCAACTCAGTGTCAGCTGTCATGGATTGAACTGTGTCTCCCCCAGAACGTGCGTCGATTTGGCTAGGCCACGACTCCCAGTATTGTGTGGTTGTCCTCCGTTTTGTGACCTGATGTAATTACCCGTGTGTTGTAAATCCTAACCTCTATGAGGTCAATAAGGCAAGATTACAGGCAGGTATGTTAATGAGACAGGACACAATTTACAGGATTAAGTTGTATCTTGAGTCGTATAAAAGAGATATAAATTTTGAGATATAAAAGAGAGAAGCGAGCAGAGAGGAGAGGGACCTCGTTACCACCAAGCAAGAAGAGCCAGGAGTGGAGCACATCCTTTAGACCCAGGGTCCCTGTGCTGAGAACCTCCTAGATCAGGGAAAGATTTGATGACGAGGAGCTTCTCCCAGAGCCGACAGAGAGAGAAAGCCTCCCCCTGGAGCTGGCGCCTTGAATTCAGATTTCCAGCCTCCTAAACTGTGAGAGAATAAATTTCCTTTGTTAAAGCCATCCACTTGTATTTCTGTTATAGCAGCACTAGATAACTAAGCACCTAACAACAACAATGATATTCAGTGTTCTCATCTCTAAAGTGGGAATAGTAAGAGTTGTTGCAGATGAAATGAAGTAATTCAGATGATATACTACGTACTTGACAAGTAATTGCGGTTGTAGTTAACTCTACATTCAAGCAGCAGAAAGCTCTTGCATTTCTACTTTCTGGCTCAGTGGGAGCCGTGGGAGATGATGCCCAAGGTGATAACTGGCGACTTAGCGACCCCTCACCATTTTCACTCTCTCTGTTGCTCCTTATATTTTCCTGCCTTTCCTTCTCCATTACGTCTTCCTTTAAATGTCCTGGTAGCCACCCTCCCCTGACCCACTCATACTACTATTGAGCATAGTACATGGAACATCAGGACACTGAGGGGTCAGGAGATTGCTGACTAACGCTAATGTGTGTTGGGGGCCAGGGGACTTGACCTTTTGGAACACCTGGGCATTTGGATTGTGTTACCAGCTGTGCGTATTTTATTTCCCTGCTTATAATCACCTTGCTCTTTGATAGTGTCTTCTGTTACTACAGATAATGAAGGCAAGGATATTATTTCAAGTCTAAAACTGTGGCCAAGGATTTGAAAAATACTGTTTCAAGTCCAACTTTCATTTTATACATTTTACCCACGACCCGTGATCATGATCAATTACTTGGCAAAGTTCTAACATGGAGTTTTTGGCAGAACTGACACAAAACCAGCCCTTTTTATGAAGCTGAGTCGTATGAAAATTGAGAATCGAAGCTGGTGAAGCTTTTTTCAGCTTTCAAGGAATTGGCTGGTATGAAGGATGGACTTTTTGAGATTAACATCAGACCCAACTCTGGTACAGAGCCATGAGTCCATTTCTCTATTAAATATTTTCTTTATATTTCTCCTGTCATTTCCCACTATGTACTATGTACAAGTGGTAAGTGTTAATTAATTAAATGGTTGACTCCCCCTTTTTTAAGTGTGAGATTCATAGTAACTTCCAGTAAGTAATAGCTTTCTACATAAATGGTGTGTTAGCCCTTGTGGGGCAGAGTGCACTGTTTAAAAAGGCAGCTGTTGAGGACAGGGACACCGGTAATCATTCATTGGATTCCACGAAGAGTCAGAATAATACCATGAAGAATTTGAATAGGATGGTATATTACAAGTAAGAAGATTGGGAAGCCAAGCTCTGTAACGTGGGGTGTGTGCATGTACACACAAAGATCTGCATCAGAAAAATATTGTAAGGAAACAGACTGAAACGTTAACTGTGGTTGTCCTTGATTTGTGAGTGATTTTCAGTCTCTGTATTTTCTAAACTTTCTACAACGAACAAGAGAAAAACAATTTTCTCATAATTTGAGAAAAAATTTTTTTAAAGGAAGTGACCTAATCTGCATTGTGTAAATTAGTGAAGCATTTGTTCCAGTTAGATGTTTTCTGGTTAGATTGCTCCCGTCGGCCATCAGATAAACATTTACGTGACTACAAATCTTGCGGCCATGGACGTTTTTGGTCCGTACTGTCCTGGACTCTGTCCTGGACTCTGTCTTTGCTGGGAGTGTGCAGACGAGGTCATGGGCAATAAGCAGTCACCACCACCATCTCACTAATTTTTAACTTTTTCTGAACATGTTCCTTTAACATGAATTTCCATCTTATTTTAGTGAGCTGGACATGATTTCCACAAGGGTGCTTCGGGAGTCCGCAGAAGGCATTGGGGAGGATGGCACAGGTAAGGCCCTCACTGCTGCTGCTCAGGGAAAGCCCTCATGTGGTTGTGGGGCAGGAAGAGAGGCTGACAGAGCCAGGCCTTTGGGGGTTCTCCTTATGGAGAGTGAGGGTTTAGTTCATAGAGCACTCAGCTACTCCCAGACCCCCCCCCCACCATTGTCACTTGGAGAGCAGGTCCTAATTATTGAATGCCATCCAGAGACAGTGCTGCTTTCATTTCTCTGTCAGACAAGGAGGCTTTCGAAGTGATTTTCCTCATTCCTGAAGGTAAACATGTTATCAGCCTTTGATTGACTTGAAAATGAAGAAAAAGAGGCCAAATGGAATCATTTACCATCCTAGAGTATCCAGAGGTATCCAAAGGAGGCTGGACAAAGTACAGGTTGACCTAATCACCCAGAAGAAATAATTACATCAAGAGAGAGCCTTTGATCCCTCTCTTTTATGCCTTTTATTCTCTCAGGGGACTTTTATTGTATTCTCTACTAAAGCCTATGGATTAGCATCTCATAACTAACATGTTCCAAGGGTTATCCAGTTATGTAATTGGTTTGCTGTTATCCATATATTATATTACTATTTCTGTCTTGATAGAGTTGTAAAATTCAGTGATCGCCCCCACAGTGTACCTTTTCTCCAGATGAGCCATTTATACTTTCCTCAGTTTGGTAACAGAGGTCTCCATTTCTCTCTTATTTAAAGTCAAAATGTCAATAGTGATTTTCTTTGATACAGTTCAAAAGGAACAGCCTCCAAAAATATTAAATCCTAGTTGCTAGCCACTAGCATCAGCTACAAATTTCATTAAAGATTCTATTTCATAGTATTATGGATAGATTTTTCTTATTATTCCATATTAGAACCACTTTTTCTCTGTAACATTTCAGTAGATACCAAAGTATCCCAAATATAAGGTAAGGTTTTATAAATTAACCCTGAGAAAACAAGGAGTTTTAAAATTTCTCATATTATGGAACACATTTATTTTGAATAAAAAATACACTTTGAGGAAGTATTTTATTGGCCTAAAACAACCTTAGTCAATGCTCGTTTTTGATACTGTAAGTCACAAGGTCACCTTGTAGAGGTCACCTTGCAGAATCAGTTTTTAAATAGTAAGAGAAAAACTAAGTAATCATTTTTCAAATAATAGTGAGCTAGGTTATTCAGACCAACCTCCTCCTGTTGAAAAATAAAAATTCTGGGTAAGAATTTAAAAAAAGAAAAAACTTTTTGAAAGAATAAAAATACTTATAAGATAGTGAGAAATAACCAGTCCAGAGCTGAAAAAAAAAAAAAAAAAAAAAAGAGCTAAATGAGCACAGAAGCCACGTTTGCCCTGTGGCCATTTTGCCAGTCATGGTAAATGTGAATTTTATTTTCATGTCCTCGTGAGATGGGAGGGTAGGGAGAGGGTCAGATATCAAAGTGCAGGGACCGTACAAGGTGAAGCATCTAATTGAAGACATTCCCTACAATAATCTGGGAGCCGAAGGAGCTATGCACTCTGTGTAAGTGTGAACCACAGATAAGCCAACTGTTGTGAGAATTTGTAGCTTGACTTTGCATTGCCTGGGTAGTTCAGAGACTTTCACCCTTGAACTTGTTTAACAATGCTTCTAGACTGAATGTAACCCCAGGTCTCTTACAGAAGTGAACATCTTCTCTAAAGGAATATGTCTTCTATGAAATTATTACAGGAAATATTATAGTATTTTAAGCACTACAGTAAGTCAGTGATGGCCAGTCACGTAAGGAAACAGGGCAGCATGAATGAGAACCAGCAGAAACAACAGCAACAGACACCCGAAGGCATCAGATATCAGAATTATCAAATAGATGCCAGAAAACAACGGTGTGTATTACCTTTGAAGATAATAATTAAAAAAAAAAATATTTGGAAGGAAGAGGAAACTATAAAAAGTAGCATCGAACCCAGCCGGTGCAATAAGACAAGAAAAATAAATAAAAGATGCACATATTTAAAAGAAGAAATGAAACTGTCTCTGTTTGCAGATGAGATGATCATACAAAGTCTACAAAAAGAGCACCTAGAACTATTAAGTGAGTTTAGCAAGGTCACAAGATACAAGGTCAGTATACAAAAATCAATTGCATTTCTATTGACTAGCAATTAACAATCAAAAATTGAAATTTTTAAAAGTATTGTTTACAGTAATACAAAAAAATTAAATATTTAGTCATAAACCTAACAAAATATATGTAGGATCTTTATGCTGAAAAAATAAAAATAATTATTGAAAGAAATCAATGGAGACCTAAATACCTGGAGAGATATACCATATTTATTGATTGGAATACTCAGTGTCGTTAAGATGTCAGTTCTTCCCAAATCTATAGATTCAATTTAATCCCAATCAAAATCCCTTCAGGATTTTTTGCAGATATTGACAAGCTGATTCTAAAATTTATATGGAAAAACAAAAGATCTAGGATAGTTTAAACAGTTTTTAAAGAGATCAGAGTTGGAGGACTTAAACTACCTGATTTCCAGACTTACTGTAATAAGCTACAGTAATCAAGACAGTGTGCTATTGGTGATGGAGAAGAATAGGGAGTCCAAAAATAGACCCGAACAAATATGGTCAATCGAATTTTTACAAAGATGCGTGAGGCAATTCAATGGAGAAAGGATAGTCTTTGTAACAAACGGTGCTAGAACAATTGGATATACATGGGGGAAAAAATAAACTTTGATCTATACCTCAAAGATTATATAAAAGTTAACTCAAATAGACCTCAATTTAAAAGTATAAACCTTTAAAAGAAAACAACAGAGAAGATATTTATGACCTTGGATTAGGCAAGCATTCTTAGGTATCATACCAGAAGCTCAATATTGGTAAATCACATTTGACAAAGGACTGCTATCTACAATATATTCAGAACTCTCAGCATTCAGCAATAAGAAAACAAACAACTCAATTTTAAAGTGGTCAGAAGATTTTAAAAGATGCTTCACCTAAAAGATATACAGATGGCAAATAAGCACATGAAAAAATGTTCTACATCATTAGACGCTAGGTAATGCAAATTAAGGAGCTCTGGTCGCTCAACGGTTAAACGCTTGACCCCCTAACCAAAAGGTCGATGGTTTGAACCCACTGGCCACTCTGCAGGAGAAAGATGTGGCCCGTCTGCTTCTGTAAAGATTACAGCCTTGGAAACCCTGTGAGGCAGTTCTCCTCTGTCCTGTGGGGTCACTATGAGTCGGAATCAACTGGTCGACAACGCGTTTAGTTTGGTTTATGTATATTTCAGAAATGAAAGCTTGATTTCACATAACAGGAAAGTTGCTTGTGTTTTTATTCTGTGATCGTATGCTAAAGCTTACTTTATTTTTTATTAAATGTCCAAACTAAACAAATGAAGATTGGGTTTCGGTGTGTAAAAACAGTGCGCTGTGTACGTCTGTACCGTGAGAAAGACGTGAGGAGCGCGTAATCGAAGCACGGACAACAGTCTTGCTTTCTGTCCTTCGCGTACGCTTCTCACCTCCGTTTGGTGAGTCCTCCTCATATGCACACAAACACAGGCTTTTGCTTATTTATTTGTTTCTTTTTTTTAGTTTGCCTAGGAAAGAAGAAATCCAAATTCAAAACTTTTAAGAAGTTCTTTGGGAAGAAGAAGAGGAAAGAATCACCCTCTTGCACAGGAAGCAGCACCTGGAAACAAAGTCGGGAGAAGAGTGAGGACATCACCTTTGAGTCGGGGCCAGTGGGCTATGGCTCAGAGGATGAGCTTGAGTAAGTTGCCATTTCTGTCCATCAGAGATAAGCAAGGGGGTGTCTGTGCACAGGCCGGCCCACACGTTCCATTTCCCTCTCTCGGTGGCTTGCCTGGCTTCCTGATCCTGCTTTTCTTCTAGGTCATTTCACCAGAAGTTCTTTCACAGAATTGTGTTCGGGGTCTTTTCACACAGAGGGTTAGAGAAAGTTGGAGAAACTATTATTGGGCACCTGCTGTGTGCTGGGTGTTGTATCTATTAAAAGTCCCAGTAACTATGGAAGAGAAGGTATTATGTGTCACTTTGTAAATGAGCACACCAAGCCTTAGAGAAATTTCGGAACTTGCCCAATGTCTTGTAGCTGTAGGATAAACCAGGATATGGGCCCTGGTTTAATTTGGCTTAAAACTCTTTTGAGGGCCTGGATAGTAAACTAGAAAACTGCGTATCTCTAAAGTTAAACTCTGAGTAATAATAAATTTTTTCCATTAGAGAGATCAGAAACAAGAAGGAGTTTCTTGCTGTTTAGTTTTAGAAGAATCATCACCCAATAGGTATGAAAATTTGGGGCAGTCTAGTGAAGAAATCCTTTTTTTGTAAAGTTACATTCGATCAAATGTACATATCCTCCAGTTATCTCGGAAATAGTTTCTGTGACTAAAAGGAAATGAAAGAAACAGATTTGTTGCTACAACAGCTTTTGTGTTTTCTTTTCAACATCGTTGGCCTTTTAATTGGGAGGATAAAACTCTTCGTGTCCCTAAGGATTGGGGCTAGACCAAGACGGCGTCACGGGCTTCAGCCCCCGCCCTCCCCCGCTGATGTGTCCTCTCTCCCCTCCCTCCCTCCTCACCTGTCTCTTTATTTTTTTTTGTGATAAAAATATACATAATAAAACATTTGCTAATTCAACAATTTTTACAGGTGTTCTCCCGTGACACTGATTACATTCTTCCTGTTGTGCAACCATTATCACTATCCTTTTCCAAATCATTCCACCACTGTTAATATCAACAAGGAGCCCTGGGGGCGCAGTGGTTGAGCGCTTGGCTGCTAACCAAAAGGTCGGCGGTTCGAGCCCACCAGCCACTCTTCTGGAGAAAAATGTAACAGTCTGCTTCGTAAAGATTACAGCCTTGGAAACCCTATGGGGCAGTTCTAGTCTGTCCTATAGGGTCGCTATGAGTCGGAATTGACTTGCTGGCAATGGGTTTGAGTTTTTGTTTATTCGTTTCTTTGGTTTTTTATTAATGTAAACGCAGTGCCCTCTGCGCAGTAATGCCCCTTACCTGTTTTTAAAGGCGTAGAAATTCCATTGACCACTTGGTGGCACCAAACGACTAAAAAGAAGAGGTTAGGCTTTTGTTTTTCTGGTGATAGCAGCAAGCAGGATGGACCTGTCGCGTTGCACTTTATGAAGCCTGGAGGGCATGGGCTGTGCATGCATTTTAGGCAGTGAGCTTGGAACCCTTGAAGAGGAAGATGTGACCTTGATAACGTTGTTGTTTGGTGCCGTTGAGTCGATTCCAACTCACAGACAACCCCAGGTGACAGGAGAACTGCCCCATAGGGTTTCCTAGGCTGTCATCTTTACAGGAGCAGATTGCCGGGTCTTTCTTCCACAGAGTGGCTGGGTGGATTCAAACTGCCAATCTTTCGGTTAGCAGCCAAGAGCTTAACTGTTGTGCCGCCAGGGCTCCTTACCTTGACGCCAGAACCCAAAAAAAACCTGTTGCCGTCGAGTCGATTGCGATTCATGGTGAGCACGCTGCTCCTCATTAGGTGTTCTCACTTGAGCAGCCCGCGGCGGGGAGCCGTGACACCCACCCTACCCACAGCCTGTCTCTTGACGAGAACGCACAGTTCTGGTGTTGGGGAGACAGGTCTGGGAACAGGAAAGGGACCTGACTCTCAGAGCTCGGCTGAAGGGGCGAGCTGGAGTGAAATGCCCTGGCCACTTGGCCTCTCCTCCTCATCCCTGGAGCCCAGTGAAAGTGGAGACAGGGTCCTTTTCATCTTTATAGCCCCTGAACCTTGCAGGGCCTGGAGCTCAGCTGGCGAAAAGTTTGCTGAGATTGATGCTAGGAAAGGAAGCTTGGGGACGGGCTGCGATGAGGCCCAGGAAGGGCAGGTAATGTTTTTAGAGAGCAGCGTGGAGGAAGAGAGAAGGTCTTAAAGGCATTCTTGAACCTACGTGAGCACGAGCATGCCTTCAAGATTCTGTAGCAAGTACAGCCCAGAGTTGAGCTCACCCTGCCCCAGGCTTCTCGTCCGTCACCTCGGGCCAAGGTGGAAGTCGTTCCGTTTACCAAGGCACGTTGTTGCTGGCAAGCCATGTGGAACCCTGTGGGTTTAAGAAGTTGATGCCCATTTATTGTGTCTCTGTGTGTATGCGGTTATGCTTCTAAGTCTCTTACTCAGTTTCCTCTTACCACCCCACCTTCTGTTTCATGTCATTGATTTGACGGAGAAGCAGGGTCATTTGCCCTGCAAAATATCCCACATTCTGGGTTTGGGCTGAGTGCTTTCTCTTGGTATGGTTAGACTTGTTCCTACAGCCTCTAAAGTTCTGTAAACTGGTCAGTGGATCTAGAGACTTGATTAGATTAAGGTTCAATATTTTTTGGTGGAGGGGGGCAAGAAAACTTAGATGGTGCTGGGTACTTCCTGTCACATCGCATCATGAGGCACACACTTTCTGGTTGTCCCACTTTAGTGACGGGACCCGTCAGGTGATGTCAGTCTGTTCCCTCAACAACCTGCAGTGAGTGGTGTCAGCAGCCTCTGATGGCTGTTGCCTAGATCTGTTATCTCAGGCAGAGCGGTGGTTTTCTCACTCTGTCACTCATGATGCACTTGCTAGCTGGAATTCTTCTCTGAAGAACTTTTCTCAGCAAGTGTGGCTGAAGTGCAGTCTGTACAGGAAAGTCTTCCTTCTCCTTTTATCAATTCACCTTCAGAGTGATGACCTGCTACCCTGGCAGCTTCCATTGGTGACTCATGAGTTTGCTTTTCTTTGCTTTGCATTTAATTTTTTCCCAAATATCATAGTGAATACTTAGATTTTCTTACATTTGATTGGCTTTAGTCCAGGGCAGTCTTCATTCATTTTCATGCTGAAATTATCCCATTGTGGACGATTGGGAGTCACTTCAGATTATCTTCTGGGTTCTTTTGACATGATCCCGTTCGTCTTGGAAAGCTCCCTTGCTTTCTTGCACCGTGAAAAAACTCAGGTTAGTTGTGCTGGTTTCCTGCCCCCGACCTGGAATCAGCCATCTCTTCAAGGGACCCTGGTTCTTTTTATTGTGAAATGGTTTTCAGAGACTGCATTTCTGGCTGCTAGAGGCAATGATTGCTATCTGGTTCTCGTTGCTTCTAGACCTTTTCAGTGGATATTAGTAGGAAATATGTTTTATTTTTTAAGAAAAAAATAAATTATTAATTCACTGATACTTCCAGGTTGTGACACAAATTTTACTAAATTGCTCAATTCTGTATTTCTGTCTTCTTTCGTGCTAGAAGCCTTGGTTCCTAATGTTATTAACAAAACTATTTATTTTCTTTATCCTACAGTATACGTACAATACTTTCAAAACAACATTGTCGGTATTAGTGTGACTAAGGCTATTGAGTGTCATTTGATACCTTTGTAATTTTTTGTTCTTAGAATTTATCCCATTCTGGATGCAGAGTCAAAACATTGTGTTTTAAAATCACTTGAAATAAGTCTTTTCTCTGTGTGATTACACCAACAGCCTGATATATAATCAGGTTTATTTCTGGGTATTTTGGCTTCTGGGTTTTTTTTTTTTTTTTCCTTTCTAGTTTTAGAAATTATTTTATTTCCCCTTTTTGATCTAATTTTGTCTTTTAATTGTGTAAAAACATTTTTATAGTTTCAAAGGCAAAATGGTACATGTAGGCACCTTTGTACCCTGTTCCCCAGTTTTGTTCTTTCCTCACCCCAAAGGAAACGATTTTTATTCATTTTTTAAAAAATTTATCCTTCTATCATTTGCTCTTTTAAATCTAAGCAAACACTCACATCTGTTTGTATATGTTCACGCGTATGTCCACCCCCTTCTTAGGTGAAGATTGCAGAGTACAAACATTGCCTGCTCTCCCTTGTCCAGTTGTGTTTTTACCTGGTAGAACCTGGCGATGCCTGGACGTCAGTGTGTAGCCGTAACAATCTTCCTCGCCCACCGGCTCAGCTGCAGAGGCCTCCATTGTATGGAAGACCCATAGCTTGTTCAGTCAGACCCCTACTGATGGACATTTGGGTTGTTCCCAGTCTTTTGCTTGTATAAACATTGCTGTCATGAATGGCCCTGTGTGTATGGCATTCCTGCGGTCTCAACGACCAGTTATTCCCAAGCTGGAGGTATTAGGGCAGGGTTCAGATTCCCGAAGGGTGTGGATGTGCTCTGGCCCAGCGTGGGAGGAAATCCAGGTGTGCGTGTGATCTTTATGTTAAGAGTGTGGCAGGAAGGGCTTGGGTCGCTTCACTGTGCTTGATTCCCTCCCGGAAATGTGAGGATCTACCCTTCAGGGAGCCGCAGGCTTCTCACATGCAGACTTACTATTGTGGGCCAGAAAGAAGTTTAGGGAGAAGAAAGCCCATTAACCAACACAGTTGGATCTACAGTGGGCCAGGGCCACAGCTAAGAGTCCGTCTGCCCCACAGGGGACAGGATGCCCGGGAGGGCGGACCCAGTGCAAGATGCCGGGTGTGTGCAGAGACTAGCTTTCCTTCCTTCACCATTGGCTCCATCACGTCCTTCCACCTATTGTTCAGCCGTCACTGCTAGGAAAATCTGACAGCTAGTTCCCACATCCTCTTACGAAGGCTGGTGAATTCCCTCTGAGTCAGTTCCAAGTCTGAGCCTCGAACTCGATGCGGAGAGGGGGCTGGGATGGTAGTGAAAGAAGAGCTCCATCTAGCTCCAGGACCTAGGCCCAGAGGTCAGGTTGCACAGTTCACGTAAGGGCATGGCTTTGCAGAGTTGAAGTTCTCATTTCAAACATAGCCATGGATGTGTGCTTTGGAGGGGCTTGTGGGGATCCATCCCTCAGGCAGGCCCTCAGCCTTCTGTGCAGACACGGCCTCTGGCCCACCGAAGGTCTGTTTGTTTGCCCACAAGAAATGACTTCACTTTCTCCAGGCATCCACAACACACTCCTACGGACCCCAGGGGGCTGGGCTGAGGCCGCCTGCCAGCCCTTCCTTTCTGCATCCTGCTGTCTCGGACCCCACACCTCGTCACGCCTTGGTTTGTTCATTAATAAAAAGAATCCACACAGCTTTCAGAGCTGTCAGGAAAATGCCTGTCTCTACAGTGCTCCTAAGAGTTGGTTGTTGTATTGGACAAAGTGTTGTATTGGATAAATTGAAGTCAGGGGCAATTAAAAAATCAGTGCAGCAAAGGGCTCGTTGTATGATGTGCCGTTAACTCACATCCCCTTTTGTGTTCATCCTGGGCACCCGAGGGGTCAGTGGAGCTGGAGATGGGCAGAGTCTCACAGTGCCTCTTTCCTCCTAGGGAGTCAAGGGGCGTGCTGGGCAGCCGGGCCCTCTCACACGACAGTATTTTCATCCCTGAGTCAGGACAGGATGCTGCTCGGCCTGTGCGGGTGTTTTCCCAAGAAAATGTGTCTGATCGGATCAAAGCTCTGCAGGTAACGCTTTTTACTTGGCAGCGTCACTTGGAAATTATGGCAAAGAGATTTTTAAATTGTTTCTGCTGGTTTTATTTGATGTATGTTAAAGCATAATCACACGCACATTGCAAAGCAGAAGACACACCAAGTTAGTAACAGCTGGGTCTTGATTCATGCTAAGTCATAGCCGCTCATTTTCAAGGTGGCGCCAGGAGAGCTGGTGGCTCTTTCAGTTTAGCCCTGTGCACCAGGCAAGAGTGTGGAAAATAGTTCCCGAATGAGTGAATAGGAGGAGGACTTGCCGATAAATGTCGCGGGTGAAATTAAGAGCAAATGTTCTTTCTTCCAATCTAGTTAAAAATACAGTGTCATGTGAAAATGGGGCCACCGCCTCCCCCTGGGGGACTTCCTATCAAGCGTGGAGATGATACTGGCATGAGCTCTGAGGACGATGGGCTGCCCAGGAGCCCCCCGGAGATGTCCCTGCTGCACGATGGTGGCCCTGGCACAACCGTAAAGGCAAGTGCACCTCCTTGTGCCCCCGTTGTCACCTGCCATGTGGGGCACCTGAGGAGCCCTGGTTGTCCCTGTGTGTTTTCTGAAGATCTCTGTGGTAGGTGTGGTCATCTCGGTGTGGGCCAGCAGATGTTCCGGGCCAGGTCACTAGAACCCACAGTTAGTCTTTGGGCTGTATTTCTTTTCATTCTTTGAGCAGAAATTCAGGTCTTGTAAGGAGATGTGGTTTTAATAACGTTTGTCGTGATGGTTACCAGTCGGATACAGTCGATCAACCCTGTACCTTGTAATTCTTGTCTGGTGACCAGACTAGTCACCCCATTTAAAAGAAGTGAAACACATCTGTGTCTGTTTTCTGTTGGCATGACATTTGGCCAGAGGGAGAAGGAAGTGGTAAGTGTACATAGGACTTAATGTAGATTCCCATTTCTCTGAGCCTATGACTGTGAGAACTTGTTGGGTTAGGGGCAGAAATGTGAGGTGTGGTGCTGGTAAACACAGCTGCAGAGAAAGTTTGACAAGCAGGGGAGGTGTGTATGACCTCAGCAGGTGGAACTGGTCTTGAAACCACCTTCCCCCATTAGAATCAGCAAGGAGGAGGCTGAGGACTTGGAGCTCATTCTCATGCACACACAACATACCTCATGATGCCACCATTTTAAACCCATACAATGTCTTTGTACATAAAACACCAAAACCCCCTGCTATCGAGTTGATTCCAACTCATAGCAACCCTATAGGACAGAGTAGAGCTACTCCATAGGGTTTCCAAGGAGCGACTGGTAGATTCGAACTGCTGACCTTTTGGTTAACAGCCTGAGCTCTTAACCAGCATACCACCAGGGCTCGTAAATGATAATATATGTTATTATTTTTCCCTGGTAGACAAGCCTGTCGGGTGGATAGAAGTTGGAGTTACCCATGATACACTTGAAAAACAGTGAAAGGCCCCAGTCTTGTTTTTATAACCTCACGCCTGCCTGTGTCACCCTCAGAGCCTGGCCACCTCTGCCCTGGGAAAGGGGCTGTCCGTCAGGGAGTCGCGGGGCCTTCATTGGGATTCACTGGTGTTTCAGTCTCCTAGGACTGCCAAGCAGGACATCCTAACGTGGGTGGCTTAAAGAACAGAAATTTATTTTCTTATAGTTTTGGAGTCTAGGAGTTCAAATTCAGGGAATCAGCCAAGTCAGTTCCTTTTGAGGCCCCTAAGAGAGGAACAGTCCCATGCCTCTTTCCCAGTTTCTCTTAGCTGCTGGCAATCCTTAACATCCTTGGCGTCTTCTCTGTGAGTGTGACCCTGTTTCTCTGTCTGTCCTCTCTGTCCAGTCATGTAGGATGAGGACCCGTACTTCTCCAGTATGACGTCGCAACAGGTAACGCCTGCAAAGGAAACCCCTATTTCCCCAAACAAGGTCACGTTCACGGGTACACGGGTTAGGACTTCAGTGTATCTTTTGGGAGGCACAGTGCAATCCACAACAATTGTCTTGCAGATGCTGATCTGATCTGAATTACATTCAGAAGCTACTTAAATTGGACAGTCAGAGAGGACCCCTCACCCCAACAAAGGCAGAAGAAGGAGTACTTACCCAGTCTGTGTGCATTTGTGGGTTTTCAGAGTGCCACTGATGCCAGAGCACGCGGAAGAGTGTGAGCTGGCTGAGTTTAAACAAGCTCCCACATCGGGCTTCGCACAGGACTGGCTAGAGGTTGATTCTTTTCTGCTGCAGAGTAGGCCTGTCCCTGGGGTCCCAGGAGGGTGGGCCTCTCAGCACGTGCTCTCTCTCCTCAGGGTGGAAGAAGGGAGGACAAGGAGGATGGTTTAGCTCATCTCTTGGACTGTGAGCCGATCCTGTGCGCTTTAACACCTTAAGACCTTAAAATACTAGAAGAGAAAGTGGACAGGCCTGTGGCTTCCCACAGTGTAGTTACCACGTGAAGGACACAGTGTTTCGTCGGCGCCCTCTGCGTGTGGAGCTTCAGTGCTGCAGCCTGGGGACCAGTTGAGAATGTGTACATTCCGGGCCATGCAGTGGGCAGATAGATGTCCATCTGGAGCCACCTCATTGCTGCCTGTTGACTGATCACCCTCATTCCATCCCAAAGTTCTCTGACTCACACGAGCGTCGTTGTTCTCTGAGTTTAGCTGGAACAGGCAGTGAAGAAGGAGGATAGGGAATCCCTAACCCCGTTCGTTAAGGCGAGCCCCGCTCCCAACCCGCAGAACAACGACATGCAGAGTCCAACATGAGCTGGGCCGGAGCCCCTTGCACGGGCCGACGCTGACCACATCTTTCTCGACAGCCGTCTGGCGGTAGTTACTTTATGAAAAAGGTTCTGAGATTTTATCAGTTGTTGGGCTAATATGAACAACCCACAAGCTTCACAGGATACCAAAATTTGGGCCTTTAAGACTTAAAAAAAAAAAAAAAAGGCCATCTTTATCATGGTATCGAAGACACAGTGATTACATTTTATACCTTGCAAGTTTTTTGTGGACAATTAGCCGATGGCGAGGAAGAAACAATGCACCCTTTCAGACGTGCTTATGTAACGTGGTATTTGATACAATGGTGCCTTAAATCCCCAGAGGGTGGGATTGTGGGCTGTTACCTTCTCCTGTTTTGACACCTTGCACAGGCCCACATGCTTGGCAGAGAAACTTTTTGAAGATTATTGTCAAGAAAAGTCTTCAGTAGCAAGTAGTTGATGAGACTGCCTGATGAAATAAGTTTTCAGGAACTACGTGAAGTTCTTTTTTTTTTTTTATTTTTTATTTCTGTACCATGGGAGGTAGCAACGACTGATGAAACTTTATCCGGTGATTTGTAGAGTAAATTTATGCGTAACTAGTCATGTTCTAGGTTTCTTGCCATTAAGCAGGAAATGCTGGTTGGAGGGTGTTGAACCGGTAAGTCTTCTGCCCTGTGTGATGAGGGAAGGTAATGTAGTGGAAAGAACATGGACTTTGGCAGCAGATGGACAAAACCTGCCTCTCTAGTAAAGAGTGAGGCCTTGGGCAAGTTCTGTCACCTCTTAGAATCTGTGTCCTCAGAGAACTTTAGAGAGGATTACATGAGGTCAGGTGGATCGGTGTCTCCCCTTCCCATGAAAGGAATGGCCAGCAGGAGCCCAGGCCTAGCATACTTCTCTTCCTCGACCCCACCGTCACTGCTTCACGTCTGCTGACCATTCCCTCATCTACTTCTCCCTGGCTGGGACCCTCTTTTTGAGGACAAACATTATAAGGCACTTGTCACCCAGGGTCACCACAGAAAAAGTCTCTGATCCCCAAGTTGTCTCCTCATGCCCTTTGAGCCACGTCACCCCCTACAAAGGGCCCTATGTTAAACTTTCAAATCTTCTTCTAGAATCTTCCAGAAGCATCTAGATTTCAAGACAAACTGGGTGACTAGGAGTAAGCAGTGCTCTAGATGCTGCCAGCCTACTGATGGAAATACCAGCCAGCTTCTCTGCCCCTTCATTCTTCTCACATTCCTCCCACAGACCCGACCTCCGCGTAGTTACTTCACTGATCAAGGACAGGACTCATGATTCTCCTCAGTCATCAAGGTGTTGGTCTTTCCCACTCACAGCGACCCTGTAGGACAGAGTAGAACTGCCCCATAGAGTTTCCAAGGCTGTAATCTTTACGTTCCCACTGAGCAGCTGGTGGGTTTGAACTGGCTGACCTTTCGGTTAGCAGCCAAGCACTTAACCACTGTGCCGTCAGGGCTCCTTTTGGTCCTTCCAGGCCCCAGGAACTCTCAGAATGACAGCAGAGATGGAGAAGTGAGAGTTTGTGGCGAGAGAAGTTCCATTTCCTAGATCGTCTACCACTTTGCCCACGTCACAGAGATCACTGCTCTGAGTGTCAGGAAGTAGAGCTTGCCAAGGTCACCGAGATTGTGGCCAGAGTGGGCCTGAGCCCAGGACTGTCCCCTCTTTCCACGGCACTCTTCACCACCTCACTGCTCTCGAGGAGAGACAGTGCAAACGCAGGGTGGCCCAGTGGAGGAGGAACAGGGGCTGTTCTCCTCTGGGCCCTTCAAGATGTGGAGCTTCCAGGGGGGTGGCTGAAGTACCAGTGTGGTCACAGACAACACAGTCTTCCTCATTCCCATGGTCACTGCATTTGCAAAGCAGCTGATCTTGTGTGTTCTCTTGAGTCCCAGACCCACTCATTGCGGCTGAGTCCATTCTGACTCATACCTCCCCTAGAGGACAGAGCAGAACTGCCCCGAAGGGTCTCAAGGAGCAGCTGTTGGATTCGAACTGCCTACTTTCTGGTCAGCAGCTGAGCGCTTAACCACTGCACCACCACAGTGAGAGAAGAACACACATCCTGCAAAGACATGGACATAAAGTCACGGGGTTTGCCTGGGACAGGCGGGGAAGAACAGGTGGTCTGTAACCCCGTTTATTAAGGAGAAAGCCCAACTCCAAACCAGGTGTTTATACTTCTTTCCTCTAAGCAAGGGAAAGAATTAAGGATTCTGTATGATTTTGAAAGGGACATATCCTGTTTGTGACCCTTCAGGAGGATTGTCTGAGAAGGGTATCACTTGCCCAATCTGAGGTTACTTCCTGAGTCATTAGCTACAACCGACTCATCGCAACCCTATAGGACAGAGTAGAACTGCCCCATGGAGTTTCCAAGACTGTAATCTTTATGGAAGCAGACTGCCACATCTTTCTCCCACAGAGTGGCTGGTGGGTTCGAACTTTTCGGTTGGCAGCCGAGCACTTTAACCACTGCGCCACCAGGGATCCTTTTAGCTACAACAGTGGAGGCCGCGCTGCTGGTACAGATGGAGTCGTGGCCACTAGTTCTGCAGTTTGTTTTAAAAGTAATTTTTCAGGCTTTACCCTGTAAGTACCAGAGTAGCTAAACGAGAGGACTAAAATACAATAGATGTTGTTCACCTAGAACCCTTTCTCCCTCATATTAGTAATTGTCTCCAGTCAGTTTACAGGGATGAACTTTCTACTCCATGAGAAAATATAAGGGACCTTTATGTTAACATGGAGCCCTGGTGGCGTGGTGGTGAAGAGCTTTTCTGCTAACCAAAAGGTTGACGGCTCAAATCCACCAGCTGCTCCTGGGAAACCGTGGGACAGTACTGCTCGGTGCTGTGGGGTCGCTGTGAGTCCGAATGGACTCGCTGGTCATGGGTTTGGTTGCTTTGTTTTTGTGTCAGTTCCTTGCAGGGACCGGTCCCTCTGCTGGAGCCTGTGTCTTCAGCGGTCGCATCCTTCTGGTGTCCCCTCTAGTGCAGCCAAGGTTATTGAGCGCCTGCCCTGTGTGGGGCTCCAAGCCAGAAACCGGTTGCCATCGAGTCGATTCCTACTCATGGCACCCCCATGTGTGTCAGAGTAGAGGTGTGCTCCATAGGGTTTTCAGTGACGGTGACCTTTCAGAAGCAGGTCACCAGGCTTTTCTTCTGAGGTGCCACTGGGTGGGTTCAAACTGCCAACCTTTTAGTTCATAGACAAGCACAAACCATTTGCACCACCCAGGGGCTGTCACTGAGCTGTGAACTAGTGAGATATTCATAACTTAACAGATGGCGACTTGAAACCAGATTCCCCCGAGAGGACGTGTGAAGAAGCAGAAACCTTCCAGAATGAACAAATGAAGCTACAGTGATGGAATGCTGGGTGGTGAGCTTGGCACTTCCTGTGCCCCAGCCCCTAAAATCACGTCTCTGGGCCACCCAGAGACAGGACCAAGCTGGACTCTGCCCTTGGAGAAGTCGGACTGGTCTCTTTGATCGGAGAAAGCAGCCCATATCTAAAAAGGCCCTGTGCCAGCTGATACGGGGAGGGTGACGACAAAGTCATCCTGCTAGGCTGTCCCTACAGGTCCTCTGCTTGTTATGGGAAGTGTGTGACCGGTTTTCAGGGGTTGGCCTCTGAGGGTTGGATTTTATGTGTCAGCTTGGCTGGGTTTTAGTACGTGGTGGTTTGGTCAAATGCTAGTCTAGATGTTGTTGTGAAGATACTTTGTGGATGTGATTAACATCACAGTCAGCTGAAGTTGTCAAGAAAAGGAGATTACACTTGATTATGTGGGTGGGCCTTATCCGATCATTTGAAGGCCTTAAGAACAGAAATACTTGAGGTTTACGAAGAAGAAGGAATTCCGCCTTGAGACGGTTACATAGAAGTCCTGCCTGAGTTTCTAGCCTGCCGCCTACACTACAGATTTTGGACTTGCTAGCCCACACGATTGCATGAACCAGTTCCCTAAAATAGATCTGTTTATTGACTCAATGGCAACTAACAACAGCACACACACACACACACACACACACATATGTATGTATGCATATATGTATGTGTATGTATATATGTATAAAGATACATATTTTCATCCATATGTTTTGTTGTTGTTGCTATTGTTGTTAGGTGCCGACCTGTAGTGACCCCATGTACAATAGTCAGAAACACTGTCCGCTCCTGGGCCATCCTCACAATCGTTGCTATGCTTGAGCCCATTGTTGCAGCCATTGTGTCAATCCATCTCGTTAAGGGTCTTCCTCTTTTTTGCTAACCCTCTACTTTACCAAGCATGATGTCCTTCTCCAGGGACTGGTCCCTCCTGATAACATGTCCAAAGTACGTGAGATGAAGTCTCACCATCCTTGCTTCTAAGGAGCATTCTGGCTGTACTTCTTCCAAGACAGATGTGTTTGTTCTTCTGGCAGGCCATGGTATATTCAATATTCTTCCCCATTCATTGTCCAGCTTTTGCATGCATATGAGGAGATTGAAAACACCGTGGCTTGGGTCAGGCGCACCTTAGTCCTCAAAGTGACGTCTTTGCTTTTTAACACTTTAAAGAGATATTTTGCAGCAGATGTCCCTAATGCTGTACGTCGTTTGATTTCTTGACTGCTGCTTCCATGGGTTTTGATTGTGGATCCAAGTAAGTTGAAATTCTTGACAACTTCAGTATTTTCACCATTTATTATGATGTTGCTTATTGGTTCAGTTGTGAGGATTTTTGTTTCCTGTTGAGGTGTAATCCATACCGAAGGCTGTGGTCTTTGATCTTCGTCAGTAAGTGCTTCAAGTCCTCTTAATTTAAGCAAGCAAGGCTGTGTTATGTGCATATCACAGGTTGTTGATGAGTCTTCCTCCAATCCTGATACTATGTTCTTCTTCATATACTCCAGTTTCTCAGATTTTTGCCAGCATACAGATTGAATAAGTATGGTGTAAGGATACAACCTTGACGCACACCTTTGCTGACTTTAAGCCATGCAGTATCCCCTTGTTCTGTTCGAATGACTGCCTCTTGGTCTATGTACAGGTTCTGCATGAACACAATTAAGTGTTATGGAATTCCTGTTCTTTGCAATGTTGTCCATAATTTGTTATGATCTGCACAGTCAAATGCCTTTGCATAGTCGATAAAAGATAGGTAAACATCTTTCTGGTATTCTCTGCTTTCAGCCAGGATCCATCTGACCTCAGCAGTGATATCCCTTGTACCACATCCTCTTCTAAATCTGGCTTGAATTTCTGGCAGTTCCCTGTCAATGTACTGCTGCAACTGTTTTTTAATTATCTTCAGCAAAATTTTACTTGTGTGTGATATTAATGATATTTTTTATAATTTATGCATTCTGTTGAATCACCTTTCTTTGTAATGGGCACAAGTAGGGATCCTTTCCAGTCGGTTGGCCAGGTAGCCATCTTCCAAGTTGCTTGGCATAGACAAGTGAGCACTTCCAGCGCTGCATTTGTTTGTTGAAACATCGCAATTGGTATTCCGTCAGTTCCTGGAGCCTTGTTTTTCACCAGTGCCTTCAGTGCAGCTTGGACTTCATCCTTCAGTACCATCAGTTCTTGATCATATGCTACCTCCTGAAATGGTTGAACTTTGACCAATTCTTTTTGGTACAGTGACTCTGTGTATTCCTTCCATCTTCTTTTGATGCTTCCTGCATTGTTCAGTATTTTGCCCAGAGAATCCTTCAATATTGCAACTCGAGGCTTGAATTTTTTTCAGTTCTTTCAGCTTGAAAAATGCCAAGTGTGCTTCCCTTTTGGTTTTCTAACTCGAGGTCTTTGAACATTTCTTTATAATACTTTGTCTTCTTGAGCGGCCCTTTAAATCTTCTGTTTAGCGCTTTTACTTCATCGTTTCTTCCCTTTGCTTCAGGTGCTGTATGTTTCAGAGCAAGTTTCAGAATCTCTTCTGACATCCATTTTGGTCTTTTCTTTCTTTCTTGTCTTTTTAATGACCTTTTGCTTTCTTCATGTATGATGTCCTTGGCAACATTCCACAACTCGTCTGGTCTTTGGTTATTAGTGTTCAATGCATGAAATCTATTCTTGAGATGGTCTGTAAATTCAGGTAGGATATACTCAAAGTATATCCACCTTGGCTCTTGTGGACTTGTTTTAATTTTCTTCAGCCTCAACTTGAACTTACATATGAGCAGCTGATGGTCTGTTCCACAGTTTTGCCCTGGTCTTGTTCTTACTGGTGATACTGAGCTTCTCCATCGTCTCTGTCCACAGATGTAGTTGATTTGATTCCTGCTCATTCCATCCAGTGAGGTCTACATGTATAGTAGCCGTCTGTGTTGTTGAAAAAAGGCATTTCCAATGAATAAATCACTGGTCTTGCAATATTCTATCATTCGATCTCCCACATCATTTCTATCACCAAGGCCATATTTTCCAACTACTGATCCTTCTTTGTGTCCAGCTTTCTCATTCCAATTATCAGTAATTATCAATGCAACTTGATTGCACATTTGATCAATTTCCAACTGTAGAAGTTGGTAAAAAAAATCTTCAGTTTCTTTATATTTGACATTAATGGTTGGTGTGTAAATCCATATATACATACATATATATAAACCTTTCGAGGATTCTGACTCATTGGTGACCCCACGTGTGTCAGAGTAGAACTGTACTGCGTAGGGTTTTCAAGGGTTGATTTTTTGGAATTCGATCTCTAGACCTTTCTTCCAAGGTGCCTCTGGGTGGACTTGAACCTCCAACCTTTCGGTTACCAGCCAAGTGCTTAGCCATTTGCACCATCCTGGCGTGTCATATGTATGTATATATATATAGTATGTATATATTCATGTACATACATGTGTCCATACGTATATATCCATCCCCTGGTGGGTCGGTTTCTCTGGAGAATGCTAACTGATACATGGCCCAACATGTTAAACTCCCAGCCATGGACCTTGTAAAGGAGCATCACGACACCCTTCCTGGTGAGAGTGAGATTTAAACTCTTTCCCCACAAGCCCAGAGACAGTGTGAGAAGACTAAGCACAATAAAAGGGGCGAGGGACGGTTGGCTGCGCCGGTTTCACGCTGTGATTTTAATGCTTGATGGGTTTTCTCCTTGCCCCATCCAGGTCTCTTTGGTTTCTTCCTCCCGGCCGCTGTCTCCAGACCACACGAGTGATGCCTCGGTCTCCCCCCGGACTTCAGACAGCGGCATCGCGCCCACGGCTGATTTCAGCTACCCCCCAGAATTCTCCTCCTGCCTGGACAACTCTGCCGCCAAACACAAGCTCCTGGTTAAGCCCCGCAACCAGCGGTCGAGTAAAATGAGGCGGCTGTCTTCGGTGCGTGGCGTCTTCCTACCCCCAGGGGCAGGGTGGCAGGTGTGGCAGCCCCTCTGCCTTCTCTCAGAAGGGTCACGTGCCTTCTCTGAGCACACACCCGTGGTTGATGGGCCCACGCTGCAGGGGGCTTGGCTGGCCTGTATCAGCATAAATCAGATGTGTCATTCCCCTGCATCCGCACTGCATTCATTCATTCTGCCGATACTCATTAAGACCCTACTGTGTGCTGAGTGGAGCCCTAGTGGCACAGTAGCTAAGAGTCCGGCAGTTTCGCAGTTTGAATCCACCAGGTGCTCCTTGGAAACCCCATGGGGCAGTTCTTCTCTGTCCTAGAGGGTCACTATGGGTCGGAATCAACTCCACGGCAGCGGGTTTGATGTGCTAAGTGCCTGCTGCCCTCCTGTTGTGCTCAGTGGGAAGCCCACTCCTCACCGTGGCCTTCGGGGCCTGGTGAGATCCGGCCTGCCCACCCCCGGACTTCTCTTGCATCCCGCTGACCGCTGTGGCCTCCTGTTCGCCTCTCGAGCTCTGCAGGCTGCCTCCTGCTCAGGCCTTGGTACTTGATGTATTCTGTGCCCGACTGTGGCTTCCTCTCCTGACGGGCCCCTGGACGGCCTTCAGGTCTCGGCTCAGAGGTCCTCTCCCCAGAGAGGCTCACCCAGACCATCTCACTGAAAGAAGCCCCCCACCCTCACCTCACCACGTTCAGTTCCTTCTCAGCCCCCCATCACACGCACAACAGTGACCTTTACAAATGTCGGTGTTCACTTGCTTATTGCCCGCCTTCTCGGAGACCTTGTCCAGCTGTACCTCTAGCCTAGAACAACGCGTGCCCCAGAGCTGCCACTCACTAGTCCTTTATTGAATGAATGAGTGAGTGAATGAAGAACAGAGGAAGATGTTAAACACTAGAGTGGTTACTGCCTTGGGCTAGGACCTTGCTTGTGGAATGCTGGCCTCATGGCATCAGTGGGTTAGAGGCCCACGTGGGGTCATTGCCTTCTCCCTGACTGACGGAGCCTGCAGGGCCTTTCCCCTGGAGAGAGTGGGGCCAGCCTGGCCACAGGGAACGACGGCGCTAAGAGCGGCTCACAGACTGACGTGCTCTTTCTCCTTTCCTACTTCCATCTTCCTTTATTCACTCACAAGGGCTCATTAAGCCAGGCTCTGGGGGCAGACGCAGTGGTGAGCAAAGCAGACACGGACCCACCCTTCAGGTGCCTGTAGTCGAGCGACGGAGACTAACAGATAGTCACGCTCCCATGTGCTGACACTCTGGGAAGCTGCAGCGAAAGGTCAGGGTGCTGCTGGAGAAATTAACAAGAGGCCTTGATATAGTGGGCTGGGAAGGGGAGAACCCTGGGAGGAGGCAGAGTTAGCTAGGCATGTGTGAAGGGAAAAGCATTTCAGGCAGACGGAACAGTATGTACAGAGGCCCTGAGCCAAGAAAAAAACCAAACCTGTTGCCGTTGAGTTGATTCTGACTCATAGTGACTCTATAGGACAGAGTAGAATTGCTCCATAGAGTTTCCAAGGAGTGGCTGGTGGATTCGAACTGCCAAGCTTTTAGTTAGCAGCCAAATTCTTAACCATTGCACCACCAGGGCTCCCCTGAGCCAATAGACAGGAAATAAAAGAAGAGGCTGCTTTGTAATCCCTTCATTTTTTTTTTTTTTTTTAATTGCTCTAAGGCTGAGCTGTCCTCTATAGTAGCCACTAGCCCCATGTGGCTTAATTAAAATGGAAACTTCAGTTCCACAGTCTCACTAGCCTCATCTCAAGTGCTCATTAGTCGCCTGTGGCCAGTGGCTTCCATAGCGGGCAGTGCAGAAAGTTCTGTTGCACAGCACTGCTCCAGGGGAGCTTCTGGCTGCTGAAATTCTCAGCAGCTCAGTTCTCCCAACGGAATAATAACAATCAAACAAAAAGTGGGGGGGGGAGTTGCTTTTCCAACCTGAAAAGCAAGTTGTTTCTATCAGTTCTTGCCACGATTGCGGGGTGTTGAAGAAGCACCCACCACAAGCTGGGTGCTTTTGCTGGAGACGGTGGGGCAGTTCAGGATTTCAGGAGCTCCCTGTAGGGTGGGTTTTCCTGCAGGCACGTGGAGTGCGCTGTTTAAACTCACGTCGGCGGTGCTGAGCTTTGAGGGGAACTAATGCTGGAGGAGGAAGCAAGGTGGAGGCGACCTTCAGGCTGGGCTCCCTGGTCCAAGGTAGAGACTCGAGTATTTGTGCACACACTTATGCCTCCAGAGCGTTTACAGGGAAAGGCTGGGTGCTGTGGGGCTTCATGCGGTCCATAACCCTATGCATCCCTGTGTCCTAGTGCTGGATTGAGCCACAGTGCCAGGGATGGAGGCAGCTCACTGCTGGCCCTCAGGTGCCAGCTTTACCCCCATGGGGATGTCTTTGGCCCAGGCAGGGGAGTGTGTAACCAGCCGCAGCCTGGCCAAGACATGGTGACAGAGGGAAGCCTGGCTCACGTACCAGATGGAAATGCAGCATCCCCTTCCTCTGCCCCTTGGCAGAACTGTTACTCTCGTTCTTTACTTTTTTTTAGTATTTTACTGGGTTTCCAGTGAAGCTTTACAAAGCAGTTCAGGTTCCAATTCAACAATTTCTGCACAAATTGTTCCGTGACATTGGTTACATTCTTCACAATGCATGAGCATTCTCGTTTCCATTCTGGTTGTTCTGTTTCCATTAATCTAGTATCCCTGCCCCCTTGCCTTTTCATCTTTGTTTTAAAATAATTGCTGACCATTTGGCCTCATTAGATGAGGTTTAAAGGAGCACAGTACTCACAGACGATATTATTTATTTTGTGAGCTGGTCTGTTAGTTAGCTAAAAGATGACCGCAGGGGCTAGTTTCAGTTCAAGGATTACAGAGTATCTTAGGGCAGTAGTCTCAGGGAGTCCTCTAGTCTCAGTCTGGTAAGTCTGGATTTTTTCAGAATTTGATGTTCTGTTCCACATTTTTCTCCCATTCTGTCATCTATTGTGGCCCTATTCAGAACGGTTGGTAGTGGTAGCTGGGCACCATCTAGTTCTTCTGGTCTCAGGGTAGATGAGGCCATGGTTCATGTAGAGCATTACTCCTGTAGACTAGTATCTTCTTTGAGTCTTTGGTTTCCTTCTTTCTCTTTGCTCCAGATGAGTAGAGAGCAATAGTTGTATATTAGATGGCCACTTGCAAGCTTTTAAGACCCTAGACATTACTTACTAAACTATGACATAGAATGTAAATTCAGTGAACTGTATTATGCCAGTTGACTGCGTTGTCCCATGAGACTATGGTCCTAAGCCTTCACACCAGAAAACCAATCCTGCAAGGTATTTGGTTATGTCTAAGAAGTATCTGTAACTGTGCCCCTTACGTGCTTTATTGTATGTATAGATATATGTGCATATATACATATACATGCGTATACATATGCACACACCTGTATGTACTCACATGTACATACCTATACAAATGTATGTCTACATACATGCGTGTATACCCACACATACATTTTTTGGTTGTTGTTACTGCTGTTGGAAAATCATATGCCATAGCGGTTACCCAAAGGCCCTTTTTTCTTATGTACATTTTAGGGACATAGTTTGCCTTCGTCAAGCTGTGCATCTCTTCCTTTACTTCCGAACTCAGCTCTTCTAGTTCTCTAGAATAACTGAAAGTCTGATTCAGTCAGTCTGGGTAAACACAGTTGTTCCTTGATTTAAACCCTGGAAATTGCATGTCTTTCCCTTCCCTCTTCCCCTTCCCTTCTTGGAAGGGATGTTGCTGTTGTTGGCTACTCATGGCGACCCCATGCACCACAGAATGAAACACGGTCCAGTCCTGCGCCATCCCCACGATTGGTTGCAGATCAGACTGTTGTGTTCCATAGAATTTCCACTGGCTGGTTTTCAGAAGTAGATCGCTAGGTCTTTTTTCCTAGTCCATCTTAATCTGGAAGTTCTGCTAAAACCTGTTGAGCATCATAGCAACATGCTAACCTTCACGGACTGATGGGTGGTGGCTGTGCATGAGGTACATTGGCTGGGAACAGAACCTGCCTAAACCACTAATGAATGGATATCCTAAGTTCTGAGAGGGGTCTGTGTTTTCCTGACTTGGCAAAGGCATCTGGCCAGTGGTCACAAGTGTCCTTCCACGCTCGTACCTTCTCCAGCACATTCACTGTTGGGTTTGAAGTTGGTGACCTCTTTCCTAAAGCGTCCACAGCCCCCTTTGCCCTTCAGCCATGAGGTTCCCCCCCCAACTGTGAGTCCCTTCCTGGTTCCCTGGCCTCTCTGGGGGACCCAGGTGGCTTTCAGATGCTCCCCTCCAGCTCTGAGGGTCGGAAAGAGTTGCCTTGCCACCTTCTCTGCTTTCTTCCTGCCCCTGGGGACTTCCCAGAGAAGCGCGCTGCCCCCTCCGGGTTTAACTGAACCATGAGGTCCAAGTTTCTCTTGCTTTGCTGATGTCTGTAATGTCTGGGGTTTCTTTCTCCAGCACCCATTCTCCCAGAGGCCCAGGCACTCCTCAGAGTCTTCACTGCAGTCTCTTCGTCTTCCTGCTGCTGCCCAAGTTCTTATCGCCATCTGGACGGAAGAGCTGTCCTTACGTGGTTGGGCTTTTCCTAGCTCTGTCCTCAGAGGTGTAAACTCTCCATCAGCTATGCTCTGGATCAGTTACAGTTCTGGGGGGAAAAAGGCTCTTCTTACCTTAAAAAGCCTATGTTGCGTGGTTAAAAACCTTGGTATTTGTTATGATTTTGAAAAACATATTCAAGAATGCATCTGGCTGAATCCGTCTCCCTCGGCCCCAAAGCAGAGGTTGGGAAAGAGAAACCCTGGTGGTTATCTCAGCATTTTACCCTGCTGCACAGGACTCGGCTTTGTGTGTGGTTCCGCTCGCGGTAGTGGTGGAACGCCCAGAACTGTTTACACCATCATCCCACGTGACACACGGTATCGTGCATCCCGCGTTCTGAACACGCCACCAATTGTTCTTCATCTCAACCTAAGCAGTGCCAGGAGCAGTAATGTTATTACCTCCATTGTATCAGGAGCACCAAGATTAGACGAGTGCCCTGAGGTCTCATGGCTGGCAGAACCTCTGACTGTAAGACCTAGGTGTCCCACTAAGCCTGATGCTGCCTCTCAGCCCAGCACACATCAGCGGTGTCCTCTGCCCAGAGGTGACGTGGCGCTTCCTTTCTGGCCACATGAGGCAGATGAGCAGGCAGCCAAGATGGCGGCTTCTTCTGGGTGCACACTGAATAGTCGGTCTCCCCACTTCTGCTTCTACAGGAGGGTTCCAGAGTATGAAGCTGCTGCAAGGGCCCAGAGAAGGTGTGGGGGAGGCATGGAGTGGGCATAACACACCCAGGTGGTGGGGGACCTGGGGCGCTTTCCTGCTGTACACGGCCACAGAGCCTGGACTGAGTCAGAAGTGGCTTTGTTCCCCTCAAGGCCTCTTGTCAGCTTCCGTGTGCACCTTCAGAAAGGGCACCCCATGTCACCCTTAGTCTTCCTTAGGTCCTGCTAGGCCCTGTCCCTGTTACTTCCTCATAGCTCCAGTGGCTCAAGTTGTGAGGTGCCCAAGCCAGACCTGCTCCTCCACTTCCTGCCGACTCCCGTGTGGGTTTCATGGTTGTAAAACGTGACCCACATCCTAAAGAGGTTTCAACGCCAGCAATGGCCTATAGTAGCAAACGGCCAGTAATCTGGCTAAGTCAAGAACTTGCAGCTTTTGAAAATTCTTCTCTGAACTTCTTTACACATCTTCCTCTTTTTAAATCCAAAAGAAGAGGCCTGTGCGTTTTGGCAAGAGTTACTGTAGGAATTGTCACAAGCATCCCAGTCGTCCTGTGCTCTGTTAGCAAGCAGATACCAGCTAGAAATGGTAGAACAACCACAACAAAACAAAGGCTTGTGCAGACACTCTCCGGAGAGCAGGTTTCCCGCCATGAGAAGGGAAGGGGAGTGCTGTGTTTATGCAACAGCCGGGGTGATTCTCCAGGTCTAACGTCATGAGCTTTTTTTAAAAGATCAACCTCAACGCCCTCAACCGGTTGGTTGTTCTCACATACTGTTTTTTTTTTAATGATTTATGGTTACCTTGAGCACCGTTCCTTTCTGAGAGAGCAGTACTGGCTCTGTGACCTTATGCACATGTGAAATGGGGAAGTTGAATTAGAATCTGAATACTAGACGCCTTGTGGCAGTGTATGATCGTGGGCCAATAAGGGCTTCAGAAGACCAGAGAAGGGAGAGCCTTAAGCTGCAGTGAACAGGCAGGGCTTCCTGTAGGAGGTAGAACGTGAAACAGTCCTTGAGGGAAGCTGGCAGAGCATCCTAGAGGCAGGGGGCGGGAAGGAGGTGTCACTCAGGCCTGAGGCTGGCACGCGCTGTGGTGGGGGCTTAGCCTGACTTGAGGAGGGAGAGGGAGAATCAGGTTGAGACCACATAGTAGAGGACTTACAATGTTGCTGAACCTTTAGGGTTGCTGTTGGCTGTGTTTGAGAAGAAGCGTGACATAATCTTTTGGGAAAATCAGTGTGGGTTTGCTATGAAGCATGCATCCCTGGGGAGATGGGGGCTGTGGAGACGGCCTGCACGGGCTCGTATAGAGCACACCAGCGTGTCCGCTGTGCCAGCCGTTAGCTCAGCCTTCACCGCGGTGTTGAGCTCTCTGCTCTCTCGTGTCTCCAGCTACAAAAAGGAGATGACCATCTAATCCCTTGCCCGCTGGAAGAATCTAGGCTTAAGTGAAATAACAAGTATAGAGTGCGAAGCGTGGCCACACTTGGCCGACGTTGGTTTTTTCCCCTTTGCTTCACTAGCCAGAGCAGCACCCACCAGTTTCGTGGTTTGGCCCCAATTGCCATAAAAAGCCAAAAAACCGGTTGCCGTCAAGTCGAATCCCAACTCATGACGACCTCGTGTGTGCAGAGTAGAACTGTGCTCCGCAGGGTTTTCAAGGCTATGACCTTTCAGAAGCAGATCACCAGGACTTTCTTCGGTGGCACTTCTTGGTGGACTTGAACTGCCAAAATTTTGTTTAGTATAGCCGAGCACTTAACCGTTTGCACCTCCCGGAGACTCCCCAGCAGCCATAGACAACGTTTATTTTGAGGGCGTAGCTGCCACTGTCGTGCTGAAAACTGAGCTTGTGATCCAGGGCTTCACATAGGCCGGTCAGGGAGGGACTAAGAACGGACGCCTGTGTGTGAATGGCTACTTAAGTGCCAGCTTTACAGAGATGCCACTTTCTGTAAACCATACTGCGCCTTGAAGAGAGTGGGGGCAGCATGGGCTTCCTAAAACCCAAGGTAATGTCGGTGTCCTTTGTCCCTTTAATTTCTCCTAGCGAGCACAGTCGGAATCCCTGAGCGATCTGACGTGCACCCCCGAGGAGGAGGAGTATGATGAGAAACCGTTGCCCAAAGTCAGCACAGAGGAGAACCCCAGTTCTGAGCAGCAGGATTTGGGGCCAGACGGGGACCCTGAGCCGGAGGAGCCAGCCCCGGTGCCACAACCCGGGGGGGCCCGTGCGAGGCGGGCGCGCCTCCAGCACTGCTCGGCACTCTGCACCAGCATGGAAGAGGGGAGCTCGCCTGCGGATGGCCCCTCGAGCCCCCCGGCCACCCCAGAGGTCTCTGGACCCGAGTCAGGCCCGGCCCTCTGCTCGGAGGCTGCATCTCTGCCAGAAGGCTCTGCACACCCTGACCCCGACAGTGAGAATCGGAGGGAGGGGCTGCCCGTCGCAGACGCGTGTTCCCCAGCTGTGGACGCGGCTGATGAGGCGGTTTGTGCTTCTGGTGACAGCGATCGTCGGTTGTCTGTGTGCGCCTCCAGGGAGGACACGGCACGCGCCGAGACTGTCACTGCCACCACCTGGGAGACACCCTCTCGTCTAGAGGGGCCAGATCAGAATGTCCGGCAGGAAGCGGAGCTGACCCTGGCTGAGCCCAGTCCTGAGGGAGCAGGGAAGGAGCCTTCTGCAGCCCCTGCCCCAAGCCCACAGCCCCCCAAGAGCTGCTTGAAGCACAAGGCCCAGCCAGTAAGCGTGAGCCGCAGCGCGTCCCCCACGCCTCCTGCCTCCGAGGTGCCCCCGGGGGAACCCGCTCCCTGTTTGCTGGACAGAGAGGCCGCCCCCCCCGAGCTCCCCAAGGCTGACCACGCAGATTCTCCACAGGGGGGTCCTGTGAGGGCAGCTCCAGAGCAGAAAGTGGAGAGAGGAGGTGGCGAACTGGTGAGCACAAAGAAGCTCTCCGTGTCGTCGTGCCGGGCGCGGCCGCGCGCAGGCAGCGTCCAACCGCTGGAGCAGCCCGGCCCCGGGGACCCCTCGGGTGTCCGGCTGCCCCTTCTGAAGAGCGGCCTGGCCTGGAGGAGCGAGGCAGCACTGGATGACCTCCAGGTGCTTCCTGGGCCACAGGGCGTGAAACTGGACCCCCAGAAGCCACCATCCCCAGCAGAGTGTGATTCCCAGGACTCGGGGGACCCAGTGGCCCAGCAGGCCCTGCTGGGCGGGAGCCCTCAGGAGCCGCCCAGCTGTGAGGACAGAAATGCCTTTCCCGTCAAGCTCCGGTCCACCTCCCTCTCTTTCAGATACAGAGATGGCTCTTCTTCGGAACAGAAGGGAGTAAAAAGATACAGTGCTGAGGTCAGGTTGGAGAAAGGGGGACTGACTTTGCTCTCCAGAGATGAAAAATGTCAGCTCGGGACACCCCCCGGTGCTCGAGGGGCCCGGTCCCTGAACGACCAGGGGAAAGTGAAGGCCCGGTCATCGGAGCAGCTCAGCTCCAAACCGCCCCTGCCCAGAAAGCCTCTCCTGCAGACCCTCACCCTCCCACAGCTGCCCACGCCCCCTCAGGCGGGCCCGGGGAAGCCGGAGAAAACCCTCCCACCACAGGACTCCAAGAAAGAGAGTAGGATGGTGGAGAAGAAGTCCCCGCACAGAGTAGCCGGTAAGAGTGCGGTGCCTCGTGCCGTGCATCGGCTTCGCGGGAGGGTCTGGGAAGGGGCGACCCGATGGGGGAATCGATACTAGGTGGAAGATGTGTTAAAACTCACTGCCCTCCAGTCACCTCTGACTCAAACGGCAACCGCACGTGTTACAGAGTAGAACTGCTCCATAGGGTTTTCTTGCCTGTAATCTTATTGGCAGGAGATGACCAGGCCTTTCTTCCATGGAACCACTGGGTGGGTTCAAACCACCAACCTTTAGATTAGCAGCTGAGCACAAACTGTTTGAGCCACCCAGAGACCTGTGGACTATCTTGCTAGACTTCCACAAAGTATATAAATCCTTTCAGTAAAAACCTCATTGCAAAGGAATTGGAAGAAAAAAAATCTAAGTTCCTTCTAGTAGCACTGGTTAGGAGTTGGGAGCCCTGGTGGTGCAGTGGTTAAGAGCTCAGCCGCTAACCTAAAAGGTTGGCAGTTCGAATCCGCTAGCCACTCCTTGGAAACCCTATGGGTCAGTTCTACTCTGTCCTGTAGGGTCACGGTGAGTCAGAATCGACTCCACGGCAATGGAAGAGGGGAGATAAAAATAGTGGGATTATGTGCAAGTACAGAGAAGCCAGGTGTGTGGACATAGATAATGAGGAAATGTACAAACTCATTTTGTAGTAAGTTCCCTGAGAGGAGATGGGACTCCCCGTGGGTCACAAGAAGCTGCTTCTACTTTTTACCTCAGAACCTCAGCAAGGCCCAGATCCCTGGATGTGTGCCCCTCTAGGATGCAGGTTCTCCCAGGGCCTAAGCTACCTCTTGGTGACAAATAAAACATCTTTGAAAATGAGCCTGGACCCTCCAGCAGTTAGACGTCTCCTGACCTTTCCCCTCAAGGAAGAATTTCCTCCATTTAGTAATCAGGCTTACGTGACCCCACCTCTCATGGAAAGCATCCCATGTCCCGGAGTCGCGAGTCTTTGTACAACGTGAGCCCCCAGAGGGTGGAAGTTAACCCCTGTCCCAAAGGAGAGATTGCATTAAGATTGGGGCAGCCCATACATATCTTTGGAAACGCTGCCTTTTAAAGTGAGCAGAAAAAAAAAAATAAGGAAAATGACAGGGACAAAATAGGTTACCTTTATATATGTTTTTGACATTTGTCCTTTTTTTGGAGTGTTTCAGACGAAAGTATAAGTCTGCGGGAAGTGGGTATGTTGCAGTGGGTCTGAAGAATCTTTCATTGCTGGTTTCTTTAATTAATAGAAGCTAGTGTGTGTGTGTGTGTGTGTGTGTGTGCCAGAAAATGACACTGCACAAATGAAGCCTGTGTGTGTGTGTGTGTGTGTGTGTGTGTGTGTGAGGGCCCTCGGGAGAAATTTTCTATGGTGAATTTTATAAAAAACAAAAATTTTGGGATATTTTAAGTGGCCGCTGTAAGTGCAGGACTGCGCTTCAGTACTGCATAGTAGGGCCGAGAGGAAATAAACTTGGTTGCTCCCTTGGGGGGCCTTGCGCCCTGAAAGGGAAATTAAGGGTTTAAGCAGGAAGGAAGATTAGCTCATACGAAACAGTGCAATGACAAGTTCAAAGAAATGCTCATCTTTTCTGTCTCCCTGCTCGGAAGTTAGTAACGGTGCAGGGTAGAGACTGCTGTGAGTTCCTAAGGTGACACCTCACGGAGCAGGTGGTTCCAGGAAGCTCCGGAAAACGCCCCAGCGAGCTCGCACGTGGGGCCATCCAGATCCGAGGCGCCCTGGCTCAGCGGTGCTGTTTCGCGGCTGCCGCTGCATTAGCATAACCAGCAAGGCGCCTTGGGAGTGGTTCGTGCCCAGCTCCTGATGCACTCTGCAGATTTCCAGAGCGGTTATTGGAGCCGTTGTTGAGAGATTGCAGAAGCCATTGAAACAGCAAGGAGGGAGGGCGTGTTGTGTGCAGATAAAACCCTGACATCAGCACCCATCCACCTTCACGGCCCGAAATGGAAAATGTCTCTCCAGGGATGCTCCGGCTCGTGGTGAGAGCTGGAAAAGAGGCTTAAGAGGGCAACGCCTGACACATTAATTATTTATAACTTCCTCCACCTAAGCTGCCAAGCTTTGTTCGCTACGAAATGCCTGGAGTGGTCTGTAGTTAAAGACCTGGCATTTTTCTTTGATTAAAAAAAAATGCAAAACCGTGTTTATTAAGTTTTGCTTGAAAAAGCAGAAGAGAAACATCTTGTCCATTGATGTTTGTTATTGTTTTCTAAACCACAGAAATAACAGAGGTGAAAAAATTCGAGAGTGAAAACATCTAGCTTCCTTTAGGGGCACAGGTCGTGGTCTTCATTTTAATGCGAAGAGAAGGGAGGGGAAATGGCCCGCGTTTTACTGGGAACGGACAGAAGCCAGGACAGGCTGGGGCTGCTGCCTAGACCCACCCTGGACCTCGAGGTACAGGGGCTGCCTCACGTGGACCAGAGCAGAATCTCGGGGTTCAGGCTCTCAGACCCTATCAGTGAAGCAGCCCCCACACCTCCACCAGGACTAGATCTGTTTAGGATTTAATTCATTATTATTACTTCTACTATTGCCATCCTCATTGCTCCCAAATCATAGCAGCTGGAGGTGATTTAATTCATATGAAACATACATACAATAAACGTTTTAGTAACGCATTACTCAGTTTTCTGGAAAGGCCTGATTACTGCTGTGTGTTTTCTTGTGGTGGCACGTACTTTACCCGGAGCCCCCAGATGGGCCACGAGCCCCCCACCCCCCACCCCAGGGGCGTGCTCCGTAAAGTCAGATTATTGAAATGTCCCAGATGGGTACGTGGTTCTGCCTCAGGTGCTCAAACTGCTTTGCCCCAACACTCGTGTTTATTCTTCCCCCTCCCCTCTACACCCCATCTTTTCTTCTTTGAAGGAATGGAGCAACCCCTCAGAAGCAGTAGAGGATGCAAGGGTCATTATAATAAACAGGCAAACCCAGCTTGCCAGTGACTGGGCCTTACAGGGGCCACTTGGAGTGGTTACCGCAAGCCCAGCACTGCGTTTGTGGTCCACAGCGAAGGAGACCTATTGGTTAATTTGCCATAGGAGGTAGACAGCCCAGGGTTATTAGCCTTGTTCGTTTGTGCAGGACGCATCCTCCTGTTGGGTAAATCCATTCCAGTGTCTAAATTAGAGATCGAGAAGCAGCCTCCTGAGCACAGGATTAGAATTAAAACAAAGGACTTAGAGAATCTTTTGTGGAAAAATCGTAAAATACAGACAGAAAGCATAAAGAAAAAAATAATCGCTTCTAAGTCCACTCTCTAGACAGTAGCCCTGATGGCCTTTCTTTCTAGTCCTTTTTCTTTGTGTATGGGTGTGTGAGTAGAACTCATTTCTTACATAGCTGTAATGCCATGTTGGGTGTTTTGGAAGGTAGCTGAACAAATCGTCATTCTCACCCGGGGACCTCATTTGATAACCAGCATCAGCCTCCAGTCCGAGCTCGTTCCCTCCAAACCAGCTGCCAGCACAGTGACACACCTCGATCTCTGACCCTCTCTGTCTAGACTCCAGTCCTCACTCATTCAGGGTCATTTCTTTCAACAAAGAGTTATGATACTCCTGCCATATGCACAGCGCTGGGCTGGCCACAAAAGATAGGACAAGCGTGAGGGTCTCGCCTGGAAGGAACTTGCTGTTCTGAGGAGGCAGGGGGCAGCCGGATGCTGTAGGGGTGGGTAGAGAGATGCCTGTCTTGGCTTTGGATGATTTCCTGGAGGAAATAAACTCTAAGAGACTACCATCCTTCCCTAATGACACAATTACTTTAGGCATATCCAAGTTGGTTTGAATAGAATAATCGTTTTTTTTTTGTTTTTTGTTTTTTTTAATGTATCACACTAAGGATATATTCCTATCTCTTGAGTACTTAAAGAAAAACAACTTTGTTCACACCTTCCTTTTTTTTTTTCCCAGCTAATCCTTCCCTTCACAGTCCCTTCCTGGGCGAGTGTGTTCAACACTATTGCCTTCTATTTCCCTGCCTTTCCCGTGCTCCTCAAACCAGTGTGTCATCTTACCCTTGTGTGCCTCCCAGCTTAGCAGCCTCTCCTCGGTCCCCTCCCACAGGACACATCATGGATTCCCACCTGTTTCCTGAAGTTTTCTCTTCCCTTGACTCCCTCTGCCACAGCAGCCCCCTGACTGCATGATGGCCATCCTTACCGTGACATCTCAGCGTTCAAAGTTCAAAGTTTCTTTACACCTCCCTCTCCCCAGTGCTTTGTCCTTCTCAGTACACCTCTATTTGATTTGATACTCGAGTCAGTCATTAAAAATTTTTATATGGAAAATATATGAAATGCTATAAAATGGGCATTAAAACAATCCCACTGCCTAAGAAATTACATAAGAAAGGACTTGGAGTTCTGGCCAAGATGTACTAAGCACATACCACTCTGTCTCTCCAGCTGATGACGATTGAAAACGTGGGACACAATCCATGACGTGAATATCAGAGGCCTCTGAAAAGTAGATAAGAGCTGGTGGACTAGGTAGGGAGATCAGGACTCTAGAAATGACCTGGTAGTGAGTACTAGCAATGAAGCAGCATCTCCCTGCTCTGCCACTGGCAGTACGAACAGCCCTTATAGGTCAGAGCTCTTTTGACCCTCCTGGCCCTACTCTAATGAGTATTAACCACAAAGCAGTAACCCTCTCTCTGCCAACAGAACCAGCAGCAACACTGCAGGGCAGTTTTTTTTTTACTTTCCTGGCCCTACTCCAGGTGAGTGCCAGCAGCAAAGCAGCAATCCCTCTCATGGTGTTGGCATCTCTGCAGAATGGAGCTCTTTTTTATTCTCTCAGCTCTATTCCAGACAAATGCCAACAACAAAGGGAACCTCCTGCCCTGGTGGCAGTGGCAGCAGTGTCCCTTGTGGGGTGGAGTTCTTTTGACTCTTCCAGCCCTGATCAGGAAAAGCATCAACAATGAAGAGATCCGTCTCCCACCTCTACCAAAGGCAGTGGCAG